GTTTTGCTCTGGGGAAGGGGGTGATTCTTCCTGTTCCTTCTCTACTGCCTTGTTTCTGACAGACTTTTTGGAAGGTTTTTGTACTTCAGGCAGCTCTTCTTTCAGGGCAGCTTCCTTGGCAAGGTTGTTGTTGGCCTTGGTTGACCTAGATTTGACATTGTTGACTGAATTCTTGATGGCCTTGGTGGCTTTGGATGCTGGTGCTTTGGTGGGCTTGTCAGGAGTGCAATCAGCAGCAGCATCCTTGGTGGAGTTTCTCCTCGTCTTCCTCATGTTAGATGGGGAGGAGGAGGGACTGGGGGAAACAGGAACTTCTTCGACAGGTGACTTGGGGTCACTTCTTGGGGAAGAGGATGGGTGTTTGGACTCTGTGGCGCTGTGATCAGTCTCTGCCGAACTAGTGACTACAGCTAAGCTATCTTCTAGGGGTTGTAGAGAGTTATCCTCAGGGTGGCTGTCTTTTAATAGAATATCATCATCATCTCTGAAAACAAACCCCAAAAATATAAGTTAGTAGATTGCTGACAGTATAGAAAACCACATTTAAACAAATCTTGAGAAAGAGAGGGAGGTAATATATATATATATACATTAGATAGTAAAAAGGCATATATTGGATTGAATTAAAGATTTATTTGCCAATATTTCGGCTGGATGAATGCCAACCTTTATCGAGGCATTACATTTTTATATAAACAAACTCTCAAACAAAAAAAATGTAATGCCTCGATAAAGGTTGGCGATCAGCCAGCCGAAATATTGGCAAATAATTCTTTTCTTCAATTCAATATATGCCTTTTTACTATCTGATGATTTAAGTATGGATTGCTCATTTTCAGAACAATATATATATATCGGTTTGACTTATGTTTAATATATATATATGTGATGTGTATATGCAGTAGATTTCTTTTAGAGTCATCGATATTGAATGATATGAAAAGAAACTCATCTCCAGAAACCAGTTGCATTATTTAAATAGAAGTAACAAGAGGAATAACATATTTTAATAGGATGTTAATGAACCAAATGTTAGATCTCACTTCAGAACATATTGCTGTGCTTTTTTTTTTTCACACACACAACCTTCCCAATTTTAAAAAATAGCAGAAACTCCGCCTTTGCCGGTCCCAAGCCCGGATGAAAAATGAGGAGGGGGAGCCGTAACAACCTCACTAAAAAATCTGGGCTCAGCTGGCCCGGCTGATAGTACCCTGTAAGGGCTCCTAATCCATGGATACAGGATGAGCAGCATTTGTACTCCATGTTAGGAGCGGCTGCACATGGCGTCTGTTCCTCATGTCAGAGGCGGCCATTTATTTTAGAGCTAAGTCGGCTTGCCACTGAGTAGTGCTTCCAGTTTTAATAACAAAGGCAGACAGATTCTACTTCACCCAGTCATGATGGTTGTCAACAGACACCATCAAAAGTCTTAAGCTTTACAAGCTTGACACCCTAATATGATTGAGTGGAGATAAGAAAGAAGAAGAAAGAATAGCGGGAATATCAAGATATTTCATTTCTCACCTTACATTCACCAAATGTCAACCAAGAGAATATTTCTATTATTTCTCACACCATCTGACTCTATTCAATCTCCTTACACTTATTGGACAATTTGGATCCAAAAATTCACGAGTTAAAAAGAATCAAATTCAAATAAGTAATACTTTTCTTTAACAGCATCAGTACACTTTAACTCGTCTCTAAGGATGATAAGTAACATTATTAAAACATTGCAGGTAAAAAAAAAATACAGTAGAACCTCCATGAGAGGACACTAGCATTAGGGGACACCTCTCTATAAAGAACAGTTTTCATTTGAAAAATTACCATTTTTACAACTTAGTAACTCTGCTGGTAAGAGGACACCTTTCCCTAAAGGACACTTTGGCTCTGCAATTAGGTGTCCTTTACAGGGAGGTTCTACTGTATTCTGCTCAGCATTTATTAACCTTGTAAAATTCAATATTAATAGTTTAGAGATGTGTTGCACGGGTTACAAGGAATCTTCAACAGGTTGGAAAAAAGCTTCTAAACTAATTGTTCGTGGGGGGGGGGGGGAGAGGAAGGATGTACAAAATCCTTTAAAGATTAATCAGAATTCATTCCAGTACAGAATAAGGCATGATTTTGATTCTAGAAAAGTTCTAACAAGACCAATTTTTTTTTTTTTTTTTTTAATGTTTGTGACGTTTTTTTAACAGCATTGTGTTATCGAAAGTACACAAATATTTCAATAATTTAGATTTGGTCTTATTATACCTTTGTGTAACCTATATATACCTACTAGTGTACAAGTAGTCAAAAGGAAAAACTTCTAGATATCAGCTTTAGTGCTGGTATAAAATAGTCCAATGGTTCTTGAGGGAGGAAAATAAACACTATGAAATGTTGATATAATAATAATAATAATAATAATAATAATAAAATGCATTAGTACATCCCAACTGTTATAAGAAATTTAAACTATTTTTGACACATATGATTATTTTTTAAATAGAGCCATTTTATTCCAAAGTTCTGCAATAGGCGGTGGAGTACTGATAAATATCTCTCATTGAAATTTTACAAGTAGAATATCTATTGGTGATAAGGCACAATTTGGATTATAGATTATAAACACAAGGTAATAAAGACCAAATCCAAATAAATAAATAGTGTGGGACGTTTCGGTAACAGCGTTGTTACCATCTTCAGACAAAAGTACTGAATGAATTGAAAACACCGGTTCTTGTCCGATCACCGAAGTTAAACAATGTTGGACCCGGTCAGTACTTGGGAGGGTGACCACCTGGGAACACCTGGTGTAACTGTAGGCTATTACCATTCAGTACTTTTGTCTGAAGATAGTAACAACGCTGTTACTGAAACGTCACACACTATTTATTAATTTGGATTTGGTCTTATTACCTTGTGGTTTATTATTATTACACTATTGGTATAGTGTTTTTAAAAGGGAAACTTCACAAAACTCTTCCTTCCATTGATTGACAATTGTGAACAATTTAACAAAATCAATAAGCTATCCAGGGCCAGTCAACAATGGACTGTCCATTATAAATGCCACCTATGTGTATCTTAACCGGAGAAACAGTGATGATAAGAGGCAACAACAAAATAAATTAATTAAACCACATAAGTAACAAAAAAAACACATCCAAATAAACTATTTGTAACGTTTCAGTAATTCAGTAATAGTTTAACTTTTTAGATGATATCTCGTTTGTACTCCATGTTAGGAGCAGCTGCACATGGCATCTGTTCCTCATGTCAGAGGCGGCCATTTCTTTTGGAGCTAAGTCGGCCTGCCACTGAGTAGTGCTCCCAGTCTTAATGACAAAGGCATTCTACTTCACCCAGTCATGAAGATAAGAAAGAAGAAGATATCTTATTACAAGGTTATAAGGTACAATTTGAATAATAGAGATTTTGAAACCTAATTTAAAACCTATAATCCAAATTGTACCTTATAACGTTGTTTAATTTTTGTCTAGGTAATATATATAATTTTATAATACAATATAATGCGGCTTATGATTGTGGAACGACATTTGAAAATTATCCTGCATGTGTTTCTTTTGACGAAAAATCGAAAATATTTCAAGGAAAAATAACGACTATTTCTATCCTTAGGGATGAAGTATGAAAGGATGAATTGTAAAGAGTATTGATGAATGGAAAAATAAAAGTGTTCCAGGGAATAGAACTATAATGGTGTTATCTAAGGCTTAAAATATATAGTGGTGGTGTGTCTAAGGGGAGAATACAGACTAAAAAATAATGTTAATGCTAAGGTGTTGGGGAAAAGTAACCACAAAGTGGTCTAATCTAAATATTGATTGAAAATTTGCAGAGGAAAAAAACTTTTTTTTTAAAGAAGGTCAAGGGTACAACACACCTAGCTTGTCCAAAAGACACAAAGAACTCTGAATTGATTAAAATGATAAGGCACAATTTGGATTATAGATTATGAACACAAGGTAATAAGACCAAATCCAAATAAATAAATAGTGTATGACATTTCTCTAACAGCGTTGTTACCGAAACATCACACACTATTTATTTATTTGGATTTGGTCTTATTACCTTGTGTGAATTGAGTTATTGCATATTAATGAAAGAACACATCATCAACTGAATGTTATAATATCGTTAACATACAGGTGTTTAAGAAACATTGTAAAATATATATATTTTTAAAATAAGTACAGTAGTTGAACCATATTGTTCTACTACTGTTATATTGGCCAATTCTGCTTATAAATCCGACACTTTAGGGTGGAATGCTTGATTTGTAAGCAAACTAATGGACATTAGCTTCGAGGACAGAGGAGAATTACATGCAAATACCACCGGTTCTGTCCTCCTAAGAGAACAACAGTCTTTGATTTCCAGACTTAAGTCTGGTCATCTTTGGACAATGACTTTCCAGAATGATTGAGAGGTTTTCCCACTATGTACTAAGTGCAATTCTCAACCTGCAACCCCAAAACACATTATTGACTGTATTGACTCATCCATTGATGAGCTCTACTCTTCCCTGGCAGACACCTTTACAAGCTTGATACCTTAATATGATTGAGTGGAGATAAGAAAGAAGAAGACATGCAAATACTCTCTGTTATCAAAGCTTATGTCCATAGAATTTGTATAAAAACCAAGATTCCACCTACAGAATCACACCCAATATATAAATCTCTAAAAAGCAGTATGACTGATTAAAACTACTGGGAGGGTTTACCACTGATGATCCAGGCCCTCCCCATATTTTTCCATTGCAGTAATGGTGGGGAGTACAGTAGGAAATTTATTTTATTTGAAAAATAAAAATCTGTGTGCCTAATTGTCTCATTTATCTTGGAGATAACATGTTATGTTTTGGTCTCTCTCCTCCAATCTTCTATCCATTCTTATTATATATATTTTATTATGTATCTCTGGTAAACTTTAGGTTTCCATTAGGGTTCCAAAAGTGTACGGCCCCCTTAGATGAGCTCTAAAAATGTCTAGGAAGGAAAGAGAAGATTCAGAAGTATTTGAGGGGTATTCAGGTAATCAAGAGGCTCTAATATAACTCCTTATAAAACAAGGTAATAAGACCAAATCCAAATAAATAAATAGTGTGTAACGTTTCGGCAACAACGCTGTTACCAAAACATTACACACTATTTATTTATTTGGATATGGTGTTATTACCTTATGTTTATAATCTATAATCCAAATTGTGCCTTATCAACTCCTTATAATAGAAAATAATAATACAGTATGAGATTTCTTTTGTCTGATGATGTTAACATTGCTAATACAGTATGACCTTTTGGTTTAAACTTAAATATCAGCAAGATGAAATTATAAATACTGATAATATAAAAAGCTTTGGGAAATTCAACAAGAAAAAAAAAAGATATAGTTGATCACTTTATATTCTTAGGATCCAAGATAGATAAGATAGATAAGGTTGGTTAGATGACGTAAAAAGAAGAATAGCACTAGGAAGAGATGCAATGATGTGAGAGGGGCGTTTCTCTCAAGACAAAGAAGAGAATTGTGGAGGCATTGGTATTCCCCGTGGTCATTTATGGATATGAGGGCTGGACTCTCAGAAAAGAAGAAAAATAATTGAAGCTTTTGAAATATGGACATGTAGAAAGCTACTCAGAGTGCTGTGAACAAATAAAAGAACAAATATTTCAATCTTAAATAAAATTAATCCTATTAGAACCCTAGAATTCCAAATACATAAACAAAGACTGACCCTACTTCAGACACATAAATGAGAGAAATTTCAACTATTTTTGATGCGTATGATTATTTTAAAAGAAAATTGATTTATTTTTAAAGGAGTCATAAGCATCAAAAATAGTTGAAATTTCTTATAACATATGGTGCATTAGTGCATCATTCATAATGAGAGGTTTGGAGATGTTGATGTTAGGAAAATTAAAGGAAGATCTGCAATGAGCTGGCTAGACGTGGTCAAGAAAGCTACCGGAAGGTACTAGATGAGCTATGAATGGTCACTAGCAGATCAACTCTGCCTTTGCCGGTCCCAAGCCCGGATGAAAAAGGAGGAGGGGGGAGCAGTAACAAGCTCACTAAAAAACCTGGGTTCAGCTGGCCCAGCTAATAGTACCCTGTAAGGGCTCCTAATCCAGGGATACAGGATGAGCAGCGTTTGTACTTCATGTTAGGAGCGGCTGCACATGGCGTCTGTTCCTCATGTCAGAGGCGGCCATTTCTTTTGGAGCTAAGTCAGCCTGCCACTGAGTAGTGCTCCCAGTCTTAATGACAAAGGCAGATGCATTCTAATTCACCCAGTCATGATGGTTGTCAAAAGACACCATCAAGGGTCACAACTTGATACCCTAATATGATTGAGTGGAGATAAGAAAGAAGAAGACTAGAAGATCAAATTGTAGAATTTTTGTTCCTAAGTCAAAGTCAACTTGAAGGACACTAACAACATCACCTCTTTATTTAAACCAACTGTAATTCAACTCACTAACTACAATTCAAATACAATACTTATTTGGAGCATTTTGCAATATGAGCAACAACTTCAACAACTTTCTAAATTTATTCACTTTCTCCCTATTCCATTTATTCACTTAAGATTAAAATAGCATTGTAATTTTTCCTTTGTTCAAAAATGTATTAATGCAATTTTATTACACCACTAAAAGTTAAATCATGAAACATTCAGAAAAAAATATTAAATAGTCCCAGTGGTATCAATTCACATTAATAACTAAAATTATTACATCAGGATTTTCTAAATAAATATATATTATTTATATATTTTGTTATCCTATGTCCACTAACAGTGAAGATTGTGATGAAATTATCTAACAGACTTTAATTCAACCAAAAGCTCTGATCCCTTGGGGTGTTGAATTAAAGAGGTTGTAAGACTACAGTAAAACCCCTTTATAGCAATGCCAATGGAACTGAATCTGTGGTTCACTATAGCCATGGTTTGTTAATAGCCATAGTTCACTGTATATAAAATAAAAATGGGGATTATATCAGGTTTTACACAAATAAATTTACTGGCAATGCGTTTCTTTTTTAAATCTCTACAGACCTTACTGCAATGATATGATTTAATGAATGAGAGGGCTTGGCTCATCAGTAGTGAACCCTCTCAGCGGTTTCGAGAGGGTTCACTACTGATGAGCCAAGCCCTCTCATTCATTAAATCATATCATTGCAGTAAGGTCTGTAGAGATTTAAAAAAGAAACGCATTGCCAGTAAATTTATTTGTGTAAAATTTTAACGATAGAGGGCAATAAAATTTAATTTACTATTATATCAGGTTTGCTATAAGGTTCGCTATATCCCAGGTTTGGTTTAGTGGGGTTTTACTGTATATATTAACCAATTCATTTGGCATTTATAAAATCAGAGCAAAAATTTAATGAAGTATTAGCGTAAATTTTCCAAGTAATTTCTTATATTGCTTTATCTCCCTAGTCCTCTGCATAGAGCGTATGGAGAGAGTATATTACATAGGTCAAATATTGGGAGAATTTTCTGGTTGGAAATTTTAAATGGGAGTTTCTAGGGTAAAGAGCTTGTATAAATTTGGTATGTTTTGCAGAAATATGGCTTTGGTTTTTATGTTCGAAGTATATTTAAAAAAAAAAAAAAGCTTAGTATAGTTGTAAAGAGATGAAAGTTTTCAATTAATAATACAGTTAAACCTTTCTATAGCGCCCCCTCTTGGGACTCCCCAAAATAGGGTGCTATAGAGAGGGGGTGTATAGACAGGTCACTTTTAATGTAAATCGCAACGTACTACGTATTTAAAATCG